AACTGAGAGGTTTCTGTTAGCAGTGGAAATACCCAGRCAAAGAGCTGCAAAAATGGGTGCTGATCCTGCACAAGAGCATGTTTGGGACATCAGGACTCTGAGGGGATGATTGCTGCAGTCACCTCAATCCCCTCCAGTGTTCTTCTTCCCAGGTGACCAAAGCAGGCTYCAGGCAGAGCTTCCTCCAGCAGAATCCTGGAAGGAGATGGACRATGACCTGCTGGGATAAGGAACAGGGCAGTGGGGTTTTGCTGAGGRTAAGAAACCAGCCTGTCTTTTCGTTCCTGAGCATCTCCTGTGAGATGGTGACCCCCCGTGGAAAGATTTTTCTTTACATGTGCGAGGCTACAAGGGCTGGGAAAGTGAGGTTTTACTTAATCCCAGTGTCTGGGGGATCCAGGGACCACTTTTCCATGCTGGAAATTTATCCAGGACTGTCGCCAGCCCTGCTCCTCCCTGCTGGCCATGCCATGTGAAGCAGCAGTGTCTTTTTTTCTCCTCCAGCCCTGGGAGATACAAGTGTGGTGGTCATATGTTTAAGGAGGGCTCAGGAAACCATATCTTCCACAAGATAACCCAGTAAATGCCACAAAATACCCCAGTTAAATGCAGACAGTAAGGATTAGACCCAGGGAAGAGCAGCCCAGAGGGACACCTGGTCACATCTGACTGCTGGTTTCAGATGCCATCACAGAGCATCTCTCCCAATGGTAGGGGTTCCCCAATATTTTCTATAAAAATAATTTTTTTTAAAAGTCAAATTAAATATATAAACCTTACTTGCCTCTGTCAGTATTTCATATTGTGGTTCAGCCTATGCTTCCCTGTAGCAGATATCTGGAACGTGATCAAAACACTTCAGTCTGGGGCCAATGTTTAATTTCTCCCCACTCACTCTATCTCCTGATCGAACTGGCTCTATTGATAGACAGAGGATGCCCAGTGGAGCATCTCAAAACCTGTCAGGTATTTGTCCTCCCACCTTTTCCCCCCTCCTAATCAGCTGAGAAGCTCTGCAGTTAGCACTGAGCTTACACTCATGACCAGGTGAAAATTTTGGTTTACAGCAGCCACAGCTCTTCCCTGGTGAATCCAGYCCTGCCAGACCCAAGCCTGTGCTCTTTGTCCTCTAATATCTGACTGAACTCTTTGCTTTCCTAGCAAAAGCATCTGCAAGAAGCATTTCCTGCATTTGGAAAGTAGTTTACAAGAKCACAGAACAAATAAGTTTCTTGCCAGTTCTCCAATTTCCTATCAAACTGRGATCCCAGACAGTTTTGTTCATGCAAGCAGCTGGGCAAAAAGCGTGTCAGAGCTGTAGAAACATCATGTTTCATTATTCTCTCTACATCTCACAGAAATAATTTTCACTGAACCATCTGGGGTGTGCAGCAGACACTGAAAATGTCAGATTAAATAGGAAAAACATTTCCATCTATGTTATCTGGCTAACAGAGAAAGCAGTGAAAAGGCCTGCTGTTCAATGAGGAAAAGCAGGTAATTAAAAATCTGTAGTCATCCTAACAAGTCCCACGAGTTTTATCAAGGGAAGGTCAGTGTAATTAGCCAACCTGGCCAGCCAAGGCTTTCTCAGAGGCCCAAAACTAATTTTATTTTACAGCCTACGGCTCATCTTGAGAGAAGCCTATTCCTGAAGAGTTCCCACATATCCCTTCTGGAACCAGCTCTGTGACCCCCGAGCTCACCAAGCTGMGCCTGGGCACAGATGGAGCTTGGTACATCCAATTTCACCCAGGTGGGTGGAACAGGGTACGTGAAGAGCATCTTTCCCACTGGCCCTGGTGCCCCTTCTCCTCTGGATGTGCTCAGAGCTGCACAACTGCACTTGGGAACCAAAGTCATCCCTAAAACCCAGCCAATCTGTTCTCCAGCTCTGGCACTTGAAGATGGTAACTTTCCTCCAGGGAGGCGAGGGCTTCCCTCCTTGGCCCTACATGAAAGGAAAAAAAAAAAAAAAACCCAAAAAAAAGCCCACTGCTCACCTGTACAGGTGGAGAGATTTCATCTAGGACAGGGGAGAAGGCATGCTTAGTGTAAGCATCACTATTTCACCTGAAATTACACTTTTCTCCCTAACTTTTATACYCAAGATATAAAACCCATTCCCTGCAGCTGGATGCTGAAAAATGGTGGAGTTGGCAGTGCATAGGGCATGATGTTTCTCAGCTTGTGGGGAAGAGTAGCTCCCAGCAAGGCATGGTACAATGAGGGCACTGTGAGTCACTGGGGATTTTGTCCAGCTGGAAACAGCGAAAGGTTTTCCCCACCATCAACCCTGTGCTCACACACGCCCACATCTGCCTCCAGAAAGCGTAAAAATAGTGTCCAGCACACACCCCAGGACTCATCCACCAGCTGATCACAGGGATGAGCAGCTGAGCTTCTCCTTTTCATCCCTGCTGCAAAATCCCAGCAGCAGGAGCCCACCGGCTCAGAGAGGTCGGGCAATGCACTGTGCATGAGCCATGAACAGAAAAAAGGCTTTAGCATGGTCCTGCCCCAGGGTAGGCTGTCCCAGTGAGCCAGGGCCAGTACCAGAGGGTCAGCAGGGACACTCCTAAGGGATTTGCACTGTGGAGCCTGCAGGTTTGCTGCTCTTCTCACTCAGGAAGGGTCCTACTCACCCTTCCTTGCCCAGATGGGACTATGCTGCCCAGAGAGGAGAAACAGGCACCTGCCCTCCCACCTTCAGGCCACAACCAAAGCTGGGTGACAGGAGTCATGCAAAGGCTCAACATGACCTGAGGGCAATTTCCTGCTCAACCCCACAGAAATCATCTCCACACAACCATCGCATCCCATAGGGAAAGGGACATGAAGTCTTCCCTCTCTTGTGTCGAGAGATAAAGCACCAAGATTCAAAACTGGATGTGGGTTTGATCGGTGAATTTGACTTTCTGAGGGATCCACACTAGGGATTCTAAGGCATTGCATTTTTAATAGTGAATACAACCACAACTTTAAACATTCCCTGAGAGATCCTTAGGCTAAGGAATGTTGTGCACATCAGCACAGYACTGGGTGCCCCAGACTGAGGGCTGCAGGGTGACCTGAATCCTCAGATGGTCATTTCCTTCCATAATTGCAGGAAACTGCAATTTCAGCTGTGTGCAGAGGGAAGTGCCCMTACCTGGCAGAGTGCTGATACAGCTTCAAGAATCTCAGGAATACCCTGCAGGGCCACAAMCCAGGGAGCAGCATGAGCAGGGGTGACCCAGGAGCTGGGAGCCACAAGTCCATGTGAGCACAGGCCTGCAAGTGCAGGCACTGCTAAGAGCATTTCTCACATGGCTGGCCCAAAATCTGTCCCTGAGAACCAGAGCCAAGAAAAAGCAAAGCTCTCACCCCATTAATCTGCAGGAAGAAATCAGAATTGATCCATCAGATGCAAGCAAAGCAAAGCAAGAGATTACCAGAAACAAAACACTTCCCTGCTCACTTATTCACATCCCACACCAACACTTGAAAAAGTCAGATGTTGAGGCAGAGAATGCAGCTATAAATGAGGGCTCAGGGCTCAGCTGACCCAGCCCCCACCAGCCAGCCAAGCAGAAAGTCCTGCAAAGCAAAATGCTCTTGGCAGGGGAACTTCCACTAATGCTCTTAGCCTGTTGCAAATGCAAAGTAACACAGCCCACAGCGGAAGGTGTTTAAATTAGGTCAGGCTTTTTTGGCACTTCTCCAGGTACAGAGCACAGAGGGATAATCACCAAGGCTGACACCCAGCAGCTTGTGAGTGTGGGGTAATCTGTGCCATGCCATTTATTCATGCCCTTAGTYACTAGCATTTCAACAGGAAAATGCAACAACTTCAGATTCAGGAGCTCCTAACGCTCAAACTTTCATCTTTTCAGGCACAGCTACTCTTTTTCCCACATGGTGTTTGAGCTGCTGCTTAATAAATGGAGTGCTTAATAAATAAGTGCTGGAAATCTTCATTATGCCTACCTGCACCTTMATTTCTTGCCTAGACTCTCTTYTAAGGAGCCCTGTGTGATTACCCAYCCTCAAGSCAAGAGGGTWAGAGYAACAGAGGCAAACTCAYCTAAAACATGAAGGMATTCCTTCACCACTGCCTTGTGCTTGTATAAACAGAAGCCARGGAATAAGCACATATAAACTGAGGACTTAGAGAAGGACAAGTGAGGGCACCTGAGGGTGCTTGACACAGGATTTCCAGGGTCAGCAGATGGAAACATGCAGAGTCACTGACCCGGCTGGCAAGAAAAAAAAACAGGCCACCCTCAGGCAGAGCACTGAGAATGGGGTGATGAGGATTTATTCCTATTGGATCTGAGCACAACCCAGATCAGAGCTTTGGTGCTGGGCAACCAGTTCATTCTCCTAACAACATAAACYAAGATGTTGCTTAATGTTCACTGCAAGCTTGGCAATGATGAGAAGTGGCATTTCCCTTGGGAGGAAGAACAACCCACAGAAGATGGACTCACCGGTGAGTCCATGGGTGAGATTTACACCAAAAACAAAAGGTTTACTTCAAAATACAGAAAAGCAATGACACAAGCAGACTACCAACACTGTGAAAAAACAAGAAGCACTCCCATTGTTCACCTCAGCACCTTCACCTGCTCCCAAGACTCTCTCTTGACCTGGTACCTTCCCCTACTACCTGAAAATGTAACTTTTTCAAGGGGATCYTCCTCCCTTACAGCCTTACAATAGGAACAGTACAGCAGCCAGGACCTAAACCATTACAGTCTCAGGACCAGCTGCAGCTATTCTTCCCAAAATCAAGAGTTTTCCAAAGCCAAGTTCCTTCATTGAAAACAGCCACGGCTTCCATCTCTTACTCAAAGCCAGAGGCCAGGTAAAGGGGAAAAGAGGCATGGTYTGTCTCCTCTGTGATCTGAACCCCATATTCCTTCTAATCCCAGTCTTGGGCAGGATAGCATAGGTGACAAAGAAAAACAAACCCTCCCTCCAGGACAGCAGATGATCAAAGAAAACCACACATCATGGCAATTATTAATTAGGTTTTTATGTTTACAGTAGTCACTTAACATGGATACCAAAGGKATTTTAATAAGAATTCTGATGCTGGAGTGAATTCACTGGGAAAGCTGTAAGAAGACCGAAACAGCTGCTCTAAAATAATAATTCCAAAGAAGAAAAAGTTGAGATCATACTGTGCTTTAAAAGTGAAGTTACATGGTTTAATTTGCATAGCACAAGCGTACGTCAGTAGCCAAGTTACAGGCATTGACAAAGCCCATCTCAATCCATGTTATTGCCTTCTTCCTTTACATCTGAACAGCTGGTTGCTGGTCTCTGCTGGAATCAAGGTAGGCTTAGTGGCACTTGCTCTCCAGCAGCTCCACCTGGTTYCGCCAAGGAACGTTCAACACCACAAAGTTGCAAATAGTGTGCTAAGGAGAGAAAGAAAAAAGCAGTTATCAGAATAAGGGCATGAAACAGTGTCCTTTTGCCACAGCTCTATATTCCTGTGGCTCTCTACATTTACCCTCTTCAGACAAGTATTCTGAAACAGCACTCTTGTGCTCAGAGTGAGGCACATCTCTTAAATAAAGCCTAAGAAATAAAGCTGAGCAGCCAGCATTGCTGAAAGATCAGGTTACCTCCTTTATCCATTCACAGAGGAAATCTTTCAGCATGGATAAKGCGCAAACATAAGCCCACAGGCACAGCTAAGCCACGTGTACCTGGGCCAAATCATTGCAGTTGCCATGAAGGTACACACCAGCTTCATGGTCCACTTGTGTGCAGCTACACCTCTCACAAATGCAGGTACAAAGCACACATACATCCTACTATGGAATAGTAGGCAATGGAAAACTCAGGAGAAATTATGGAAAAAGCTATGGAAAAACTCAGGCCAACTTTTACTGCTCCCAGCCAAAAAAGTCAATTATTTGTTACAAAATGCCTGCCTAACAGCTTGGTGGGCACAGAGACATGGGGTGATCTGCTTCTTTTGGGCAGTGCTTTGCCCATAGCTCTGTTCACAAAGATACAAATCCCACAGGAAAGCATGTCAAGCATGTTTATGGCATGTTTACATCACCATGGGAAAGAAGAGCTGAGAATTTTAGGGTGACWGAGAACCAGGAGGCCTGTAGGCTTGGCAGTTTCCTCCACAGATCCTTCTGATCCATGACTRCTTCTTAGGAGGACTGAGACACATGCAGTGCTCCAGCCTGAGCTCTACTTACAAAACAGCCAACAGACCCTTCCTTCTCTGACATCATCTGGCAAGACGAGTTCTGCAAGGGCAGAATTTACTTTGCCTTGTTAAATGTGAAGGCATTAAGGGCTCTGATGTTGACACAAGCAGGCAAGGGACAAAGCCATCTGCGCTAAGCCAGACAGGTGGATGGGGTTGGACACTGGGGGTGGTCAGCACGCTGTGCCCTGGAGCCTACCTTGGCCATCTGGGGCTCCTCGTGGAAAGCACAGTTCTGGATATCAGTTGCTGGCTTTGTGCAGGTTGTCCGGGCAATCTCCACTTCCATTATGTACTTGACCCCAGCCACGATCTGCAACAAAACAAGCCGGCAGAGGCAACTTTATTCACAGCACCCCGAGAAGGGCTGTCTGCCGAGAGCAGCCTGGCAGAGAGGCAGGCACTGCTCCTGTTACATGATAGAAAACAGACKCGGAAAGCACAGAGGGAATTGTGGCAACCTCTACGAAAGAGGCACTTGGCACCCCCGCAGAAACAGGAAACAGAATCCAAGTAAACACGTCCCACAAAGAGCTTCCCTAGCAATAAACAGAGAGGTGTTAACTCATGAGCAGCGCAGGGAACCCACTGGCTCCTTCCATAGCGCGCAGCACTCAAGGTCACCCAGACTGACAAGAACCGAGATATATAAAAAGGGCTTTATTCTGTGGGGGGAAAAAAACCCCAAAAACAACAGCACACAGAAGCCTCCAGGCTCGCGGTCGGCCCTTTCTCCRAAGGAAGCCGGCCGGCCCCACTCGCAGCCCCGCTAAGGCAGCGTGCCGCCCCGGTCGCTCACCTGCCTCTGGGCGCTGATGATCCGCACCACCCGGCTGGTGTACATGTCGTTGCTGGCCCTGTTGTACGCCGTCATGGCGAACTGCAGAGCCCGCTCCAGCCCCTCGTCGTTCTCGGGGTTCTCGATGGGCTGCGGGGCACCCACCAGCCGCGGGCGGCCCAGGGCGCCTCGCACGGCGCCGGCGAAGCAGAGCAGGGCCGCGGCCAGCAGCACAAACACTGAAACCTTATCAACCGCCATGGCTGCGCTCTACCGGCTCCCCCTCACGGCCGGCGCCATTTTAAAGCCGCGGGGCGGGGCGGGCGGTGTTTGGGGCGGGCGGTGCTTGGGGTCGGGCGGTGTTTGTTTGGGGCCGAGCCCCGCCCCGGCGCCTTCAGCCCGGCTTTGCCCGAGGATTGCCGCAGGGTCAGCGTGAGGGGGCAGCGAGGGGGAGGAGGAGGAGGAGGATGCTTTCCCGCACGGGAAGTTGGAGGCTTTTCCCAGGCTCTGCCTCCTCGTGGGTTATTCTTGCGCTTGTTTCCCTCTGCTGCGGGTGGAAAATAAAAACCACGAAGCGTTTTAAGGCACCAATGTTGTTTCCAGCACAAAATACCTCGAGTGATTTCCTAGCTCTGCCTCCGCGGCGCTGGTGYGGCCTCACCTACGCTTCGAGGGGCCGAGGCGGCTTCCCAGACGGATGGATTCACTTCCCATAAACTGCTCCCATAAGCACCGACATCATCTCCACCGTCCCGTCAGGAACCCTAAGTTTGGAAAGACAGGAGCTAATATAGCACCTCCGGTGAGATTTAAGGCCTGATGAAGTTGTTAGGCTGAGAGAGGAGGAGGCTTTTCCCCTGAATATCCACGGCTTGCCTTATAATGGGAAGGGTTTGTGTGCTGACTGGAAAGGCTGCCTGCAYGCCGGCAATATCCAGCATGGAAAAATCCCTGGAGATGGCAACAAGCTGAGCCATCAACACTGACAGGGGTCATTTTTACAGCGAGAGAAATAATCATAGAACAGCTTGGGCTGAAAGGGATCTTGAATATAATTTCATGGTGAGTGCCCTGCCATGGACAGGGTTAGCTTCCACTAGACCAGGCTGATCAAAACCCCTGGATGAACACCACCAAAACCACCCAAACAGAAACAAGCTGCATTTGTTGACTATTCCCAGTCCAAACCTCAAAAAATTAGCACTTGAAACAAAGCAATTATGAGGAGAAGAAAAGGCTTTGCAAAAAAAATATGTTCTACAGTTGATACAAGCATTCAAGTCACACAAGCATTCAGTCATAAATTAAGTAACATTTTCATCATTCTCTACCACTCAAAAACACAGTTGAAGACATGAAAGTTTCACTTTTACARCTCTAGCCATTACAATATGTGCACAAAGTCCTGCAAATTAGTGCTCTGTAGCCTCCTGCCAAAGCCTCTTGCCACCTGTATGGGCACAGAGATCCYGTGAAGTACAGCCAGCCAGGCCACTGTCCAGTTGGACAGTTACATGGGCATCTGTCTCTCTGTGGAACTGAAAGATAAAATGTCCCCTTGAATTAATCAGTAAAATTTGTAGGAACAACTCCATGAAGACATGAGTTGGAGTGGCCAACAGAAATGGCAGATGAAAGTAGGATGGCCCACATCCAGGGGTAGTGTGGGCCATGTCCCCATGTTGGTTTTTCATGAATTRATTCAGGGACTTGTGTTCTTAAAGAAAGAGTATCTTGAAATGTGGGAGGTTTCTCCACTTTGCAATTCCTAACGTGTACACAGGGCTGAACACACTTTAAAAGTTTGGTTCCATTTCCCAGAAAAGCCTCCATTATGGCAGCCCCTCCAATGCTATCTGCATTTATCTGAAGATAACAGCCTGTGGCTGGTTCCTGCAGGGCTGGAAAGCACAGCCTGCAGGGCTCTAATCTCTGCACGGTTCTCRGACGGAARCGGGGCCTGCAGGACGAACAACGGCTTTTGTCGTCACTCGGTAATGAGATAGCAAACCTCAGATACCGAAAAATAATCACGCTCCCTACAGGTAAGAGATTWCCTTTGAAATATCTCACACCCAATATGCTCTAAATGCTTTTTTAATCTGCTTTTTGACTCTTTTTTAAAATACATCAATCAAAAACCTAGGTTAGCTTTCCCATTTTTCCTGTCAAACTGGCATCCAGAACCAAATGCAGAGTTTGTGTATGCTCCCGTGAGTCCCAGGGGCTCACCAAAAAAAGCCTGAGCAAGACAGTCAGCAGCTTATGAGATGGAGCTGAAAGTGATTCAATACCAAAGGCAGAGCYATTTCACTGCAGTAGGAGAGTGTCCTCTGTTTACGGAAATGAACCCATCCCATAGCAGTTTATTCAGTAATGGTGGGAGAAATAGAGAATCTCTGCCTTCCTTTGAGACTCGTGCTCACCACTCCCTGCTCTGGCAYGYAGAGGCATTTTTGTCAGGAGAGGAGTTGGAGGCAATGCCATGACTTGTCCATACAAAGAAAAGCAAGTCTGTATCTTGTCTCTYAGCTCCAAAAGCGTGGCCTCTGAAATCCAGACAGCTGGATTTGAGAGTGCCCARTGATCCATGACACAGTCACACCTCTTCTGCATGGACACAAACCCTCACATACTGGCAWGCTCTCGCCACAAGCCAAAAGCCAGTGGTGGCTTTTCTGGACTAGCAGTAAGGTGATTGTTCAGCTGAAAAACAGAATCTGCCTGGAGCGGCTTCAAGGGCACCAAAGGGCTGCTCTGAACATATTTCAGTCCTGGCAGTACAACCAGATTAGTAAAGACCCCCCTCTCAAGTTCAAAGTCTGCCTAAATAAGCTTAGCACTTACTGCTGAGTGCACCTTTCAGGCAATTCAGTGGAAACAGAGCTATTGGGAAACACAGGCTCTCAGTCTAGTTGAGTTCTCTTGAATCTGAAATCCCAGCCTTAGATTTCTTGGGAACAGGAAAGAAAACCAACAGAAAACAAGTACGGGTAGCACTGAGCGCTGTTCAGGCGCTGGCGGTCACTTTTAGGAATTAAATGCCAAACAGCTCTCAGCACTGATCTCAAGTAGGTCAATGATTATCGCCCTGCAGACTGTGATTCAGGACCTGCAGCTCTCTGCTGAGCCCCACGCTGCTCACATCACTTGTGGGATGACAGCAGCACCTGCTTTGGATCCCTTTCCCTTATGCCAGTGCAGAAGATAATCTGCCTCTAAGAAATGCGTATTCACTTGCAGACATCTGCTTAGTAATTACTGCTGTTAATCTGCCTCTATGCCCATGAGGGTGAGGCATTTTTGTTTGACACACAAGCAGTAAACAAAGTAATTGGCAGCAAGAAAAGCTGCATTTCAAATAACTGAGTGCAGTCTGTTATGGTCAGATTGTGCAATTGAAATGATGAAGCCACGGTACTGATAGCGGGTGCTGGTTTAAGTGAGGTACTGGTGCTTCACTTGGGGTTTTAGCAAAAAGACCCTCTTCACCAGCATCCCTTTTAACTCTGAGAAATAGAAATACTGGYACAGCAATTGCATATATTCAAAATTATCACCAGAGATTTTCTGCAATCTGGTGCCTTTGGCAGCTRTATTAGCTTGTATTTACTGAGAATAATTTGGCCATTCTCTTTTCTGTATTCTTCTTCTGTATTTGTTTGCAGGAGAAATAGCTTTGCTGCGTAAGGTTTGTATTAATTAGTTCTTTTTAGATGTTTGTTTCTTCCCCAGGAACTGTTTGTTTCAAATGAGTTCTCTCCTTGGTCTCCAGTCCAATCCAAAGCACAAAGTGCATGTTTAAGCTTAGCTTCTGAGGAATACCAGTGACTTCAYACAACTAAGAAGCCTCAAATGAAGTGTATGCTTGTGTGCTGTGCTTAAAATGGCCCTCCAGCAGCCTGCTGGGATACATGACTGGGATACAAAGACAGGAGCTCTGAGGCTTTGCAGATAGCTAGAAGCCCAGAGGAGGAAGAGCTTCCTCTGCTTTAGCGTGGAGTCCATGCAGAGTTCCCCAAGTTCCCCAGGGACTGATTCATGGTCACACCATTCTTATTCTCTCTACAAATCAAATCATTTGTCTCTTCCCTCAGCAACTGTGTAACTTCACTGCTTCAAAGTCCAAGAGCTTCGGGCCACAGCACAAATTTGAGTGCTCACTAAGCATGGCATCGTGCTTTAACTATATTTATGATAAAGGCCCTTTTTCCAGAGCAAGACTACCAGTCCCTAATCCTCACAAGAACTCACAATTAAAAGGCCATTCAGGACCTCAAGTTGTCATTGGCTGAAGTCAGCTCCTCTGCTGTGATCCCAGCAGAGCCAAGCCAGATGCCAGATTGCTTTGGATTGCATGGCACTGCACAGACAGACAAAACTGTTCTGTTTTTTGCATTCTGGGGTTGGAGGGGATGTTCAATTGTTTGGTTGTGTTGCTTTGTTTTTAAGAGACAACTGCTGTGCTCGCAAGTAAAAATTTCTCATTGGAAGACAAATGGATGGTGCATTTTCACAATCCCCATATACAACCAGAGATACAACCTCTGTTCTAAGTTTTGAAGTGGTTATAGTTCCTGTCTGCCCAGCATTTCAGAGCAGAAAACTCTCCCTAATTAAGGCTTGATTGCAGGCAATGGGGAAGCAAAACTTGGATCTGTGAAACATCGAGTGCAGAGAACAGCCTGTTCTCAAGGGGCTGACTTGCCAGCAGGATTCCTCACYGCTTCTCATTAGGAAGGACTTGAGCTCTTTTCTGCATTGTGCTTGTTGGATTTGAAGCATGGGGAAGGGGCAGGRACACCTGTTGTGTTTAACAATTGCAAGACAGGAATCGTCAAGGTAGCTTGCAAACAAAACCAGCTACCTGTGCCAGACAAACTGGGATACGTGGCCACTAAGATTTTTCCCTCAAGAAGGAAGTGAAACCATGAATAACCTCAAAATTMATCCTGCCAGTTGCTCACTTGCTGCTCTGCACATGCACATCCAGCAAAAAGACCAGCCCACTCCAAAACATGAAAGGGCCTTTCAGAAGAGTATGTATTGTCACGCATAAATAAGATTACTGCATCAATGATCATTGTTTAATAAAAACACAGTTAATCTACAGGCCACTGCAGCCCACATTTATAGATRTCCATTCTTCAAGTTGCAGCAAACTCAAGTGCACAATGAAGACTCACTTTCAGAGCAGAGTTTTTACTCAAAGAAGTGGTTATTTGTGAGTGAGGCGACTGCTTCGTATCCAGTGGCTGCAGTCAGGTTGTTCCAGA